GATTTTTTTTTTATTTATTGTAGAGATGAGGTCTCGCTGCCCAGGCGGGTTTCGAACCCACAGGCTCAGGCAATCCACTCACCTCAGCCTCCCAAAGGCGTCGGATTACAGGCTGAGCCACCGAGCCCGGCTCCAAAAGAATGTTTAATGAACATTCCATTTTAGATTTTCTATCTTGGCCAGGCATGGTGGCTCAAGCCTATAATCCCAGCACTTTGGGAGGCCAAGGTGAGAGGATTACCTGAGCCTGAAGGTTCAAGACTAGCCTGGGCAACATGGTGAGACCTCATCTCTACAACAAAAAAAATCAAAAAATTTTTTTAGAGGCAGGCGTGGAAGCGCATGCCTCTAGTTGCGGCTACTTGGAAGGCTGAGGGGGAAGGATCGCCAGAGCCCAGCAGGTTGACAGTGGGGTGGCTGTGAGTGTGCCACTGCACTCTAGCCTGGGTGACAGAGTGAAACTCCAACTCAAAAAAATATATGTATATTTTCTGTCATATCCCTATGGGATTTGTCACTGCATACTCCAGAAACCCTGCATATTACAGGTATTACCAAATATTGGCCAAAATTCTTTCTTCACTTGGTTTTACCTCATTTTACTAATTATTCTATTAAAAATTTTGCTTTCTGATTAAGCCTTATTTACTTTTTTGATAGCACAAATACATAATTATTGAGGAAGGGGACCAGCATTACCATTCCACTTAAAAGAAAGCATAATCATTTAGTATTCCCTAGAATAACAAGAAATAATGCCTTACAACAAAAACAGCACTCTTAAATTAAAAACTGAAGCTGGGGAGGGAGAGAAGAAAAGAAGGGAAGGAAGAATGCTAAAGAAATACAAAACATCAAGCAAGGTAATTTATATTTAACTAATTCTTAAGTTTTCATATATATATGGAAACATAAGAATAGGCTGGGTGTGGTGGCTTCCAGCACTTTGGGAAGTCAAGAAAGGAGGATCACTTGAGCCCAGGAGTTCAAGAGCAGCCTGGGCAACATAGTGAGACCCTGGCTCTACAAAAATAAAATAATAAGCTGGGTATGGTAGCACATTCTGGTAGTCCTAGCGTTGGGAGGTTGAGAAGAGAGGAATGCTTGAGCCCAAGAGTTCAAGGTTGCACTGAGCTATGATTGTGCCACTGCACTCCAGCCTGGGTGACAGAGTAAGACTCTGACTCTAAAAAAATAAGAAAGCACATTCAGAAGAACAAGCAGGTTTCATACTCATCTCCAAATATTCTCCGAAATAAAGACTGCTAAATATCACTATTTTGCTAAATAAAATATATGCAAATAAGTAAATATACTGCAAGCCATATATATAATGAGATCCAAAAGCAGTCTGCATGCTCACAGCCACAGCACGTACCTTTGCACGCCAAGGAATCCCAGGAGAGCGAGATCTGGCTGCTTATTTAGTCGAAGAACACATTCCCAGTAAATGTCTTCCTCACGGTCATTGTCCAAAGCATAGAGCATGAACAGTGGTGGGTACAGCCGAGGTAGCAGCACAGGAAGCAGGAGTCCAGAGCTTGTTACTACATAACTGCAAAATGTGAGGATAGGAGAGAGGAGCACTGAGATTAACACTGAACCAAGGATCCAAGACACAGCTTCAGTTTCTGAAGTCAAAGCAGAGATAGGAAACTTTAAGGACGTTATAATACTCCTGTAGTCTGCACATGGGGAGTTGACATGAGGACCTCGACTATGGCCCAGAGTCTCATCTTGGACAAAACTATGGATTCTTTTCATTAACTCATATCTAACTGATCACCTACTCTTCCCATCTTGAGGCTGAGTTCTCTGTAGTTCCTTGAGGCTGGCATGACGCTAGCTCACTGGCTCAGCAACCCCAGTGCTCAGTCATCTGTGGCTGCTCTTGCCTGGGAAGGACTAGTGACTTTGAGACCTGGAAGGGGCCTGAGAAGGCACCTTATCCACCACATCATTTTAGGAACAAGGCCTAGATCTAGAGAAGACACACTCCCTGGCACTGCATGGACAAGGTCGTCTAGTTCCCACTCCGTCTTCAGCCTACCCAACTCCACTCACCCTGGCTCTGGTGATTCGGATCTGGAATCAGATTTCCCAGTGCAAAAGGATTTCCTTTCGGTTGGTGGAGGAGCAGAGAGAGGAATCGTGCTGCCCTCTTCAGGAAGCTCAGGAAATAAGAACCTAAGGAATAATACAGAATTCTACAATTATACTCTAGAGTGGCCAAAAAGAGGAAAAACACGTTTCCATTTATCAATCCACATAACAACCAATGAAAGCAAACTTTATTATCAACTAAGTATTTCAGTTCCGAGTTTCTATTTTTTTTTCCTAAAGAGAGACAAGGTCTACCTCTGTCGCCCAGGCTAGAGCCCAGTGGCGCAATCAAAACTCGCTGCAGCCTCCAACTCCTGGGCTCAAGCAATCCCCCTGCCTCAGTCTCCCAAGTAGCTGGGATTACAGGTGTATGCTACCACATCTAATTTTTTTTTAAGAGATAGGATCTTGCTATGTTGCCCAAGCTGGTTCTCCCAAAAGCTCTGGGATTACAAGCGTGAGCCACTGTGTCCCGCTTCCCTAAAGTTCTTAACTGATTCTTCTTACAGGATAAGATGAGGAGTGCAGCTACTGAATAATACCACTAAAAAGTCTTCACATGTTATGGTTTCTCCTGACTAGCTCTTAAGGAAAGGAAAATTCTGATCTATATGAGATATGTTTCATACTAGCAAATCTCATCAGAGGTCAACCTGCATTAACTCTGGGCAAAGACCATTATTCTCAGACTAGAAGCAAGTAAAACACCAGTGGAAACGAAAAGCTTAACATTAAGGGAAAAATGATAAATTACAGAAGATTTGCTGTTAGTTTTTAGCATTTTCTCATTTACATAGATTCAGGGGTTCTGCCACAAGGATAGACTATGCTGTGGTGAAATCCGGGCTTGGGTATACCTGCATTCCCCAAGAGTGAACATTGTCCCCTACAGGCAGTTTCTCATCCATCACCTCCTCCCCTGCTCCCACTTTCAGAGTCCCCAGTATCTATCATTGCCCTCTGTACTCAATGTAAAATTAAAAATTTTTTTAAAAAAAGTCAAATAGCCAAAAATTAATTTTTCACATGGTCAAAGGATTTTTTTCCTAGGCTTTAAGTGTTCCCTAGATCTTCTGACTTCTTGTATCTAGTGGGCACCATCATAAAAACATTATTGTCTCTTTATTTTTACAGACTTAAGTCTTTGCCCTTTGGTGTACAGTCTTCTATATTTATGTGACTGACACCTTGTACCTCTCTCTGCCCTATTCTCTAGTGGGAAAACTAAAAAAGGTCAGAAAGCTTCTCTTCATTGTACACATCCAGTTGCCTTCTGAGCAGAAGCACTCAAAGCCCCATGAACAGTGGACCACAGTTCACACTTCTCTCTCAAAATCTGAAACATTTCCAAATGTTGAGGCTAATAATAGAAAAGTTCTGAGACAAATGCATACATTTCTGTATAATTATCTCACTATGGTATTTACTTGTTGGTTTAAACCACCTCACAAGCTCAGAAGTGCTCACTGGCTGGAGAGCTCTTCTGGAAGAGGCACTGGCTCATTCAGTGGCTTCCTCAAGGTCTCTGCTCCAACCCAGCTCACCAGTCAGGCTTCTCTGACCTTCTATTTAGAAGAGCAGCACTGTACCTCCGGGGCCATCTTCTTTCCTTCTTTATTTTTCTCTATAGCACTAATCACCATTGGACATGCTATGTACATATTCTGTTCACTCTTTTCCCCACTATAAGCCAGCATGATGAGAGCAACATGTGTATGTTTATTCGGTTTTAGTCACTGACAAATCCCTCCAAAACCTGGAATTGTGACTCTGACACAGAAGTACTCAACACTCATTTGTTAAGTAATTGAGTATACATGATGCTTTTGTCAAGGAACGGGACACAGGGACTCAGGGACAAAACTTTACACTGAACTTTATCCATTCTGTGTTATATCTTACAGATATGATTTTGCCTGAAGGACTGAATCTAAATAAGACTACTATATGTCATACCAAAATTAGAATTAAAAAAAATTATTTTAGCCTTCTGTTATACTTAATGAGTAAGAAAGACATAAAAGGAAATAAGCAGCAATGGCTAAGGTTCTCTCTTTTTATGTTTGTAGCATAAACATAATTAAAAACATGTTTTCGCCGGGCTCGGTAGCTCAGCCTGCAATCCCGCACTTTGGGAGGCTGAGGTGAGTGGATTGCCGGAGCCCGCGGGTTCGAGACCCGCCTGGGCAACTTGGCGAGACCTCATCTTTACAATAAATCAAAAATTAGCCGGGCGTGGTAGCGCGCGCCTATAGTTCCAGCTACTTGGAAGGCTGAGGTGGAAGGATCGTGGGAGCCTAGCAGGTCGAGGCTGCAGTGGCCGGGAGCGGCCACTGCACTCCAGTCTGGGCGACAGAGTGAGACTCCAACTCAAAAAAACAAAAAGCAAACAAAAAAAACACATGTTTTCATTATCTAATCTATTTAAGGATCCGTGGCATAAAATCATTTTCTTGACGAATAGATTCTATGACACAGGGGAATATTTACAATTCTTCACAAAATCATAACCTCTAGTCTCAGAGTGAGGCCACGTGGGTATTAGTGTGCACAGTATTCCATAGCTGCAGATTTCCATGAAAAGACCTCTCACCTCACCAGCTGAAAAATTCGCCTAAGATAGGACTTAATCTCCTTGACAGCCTCCTGTAGCAACCGGCGGTTGGCACCCACACCCACATACGTCATTCTGTACACCGCAACCAGGGTCTCCATGAGCCTGCCCAGGGGGTGCAGAGGAGTGTCACAGGCCTGAGCAGGAAGATAGTCAATGAAGTCAGTCAGTAGACATTAGCAGGAGAAATAATCAGTTGATAATAACAATTTCATAAATGATAAATAATTTTCAAAATATCAGGAATCAATTTTTAGACCAGGAATATTCAAATACTTTTAACTTTTCTAAAAGTATTGGGTCTACCCCAATCATATGGAGCTGAAGTTCCTAATCTTCTTAATCAAAGAACACTTAACATCTTGGGAAAACAGCTTCGGAAGTACTGACACGGGATGCCACTAAAGAAAGATTCTACCAGGCCTAGTGATGGGCACCTACAGTCCCAGTTACTAGGGAGGCTGAAGCAGGAGGATCTTTTAAGCCCAGGAGTTCAAGGCCAGCCTGGGCAACATAGCAAGAGCCTGTCTCTACAAAAAAAAAAAAAAAAAAATAGATAAAAATTTTAAAAAATAATTTTAAGAAGATTCTAATATATTTTAAACTTCACAAAAATGATATGAAACTTTACCTTGGAAAAAAATAAATACTGACTGTTGATTATGCTCTGAAACAGTCCTTCCTCAGGTCCTTGATTTCTCATAATTCTCCTTCCTATACCCCCAGCAAGACTTCTCAGACTTCAAATTGTACCTGATCTTATAAGGTTGAGAAGGAAGCAAAGACAGTGTACTGGGGCATGATAGGGCAGGCGTTTCAGCGCCACAATCTCTACTCTGCTAGAGTTCCTAACAAAAAGTTACTTTTAACTCTGATCTTATATACCTCAAGAACCCTCTGGAATACCTTACAAAACTTAAAAAGTTTGATCATGATAATGGGACAATCTTGACGTAGAAATGTGATCTTAGTAGTAAGAGAATTAGAAAAAGAAATGTTTAGATGCAAAAGCAGGATTAGGATTACATTACGATGTGAATCAATTTGATTGATACATTATGGTAGCTGAATTATTAATTCATAAGACCAACGCAATTATGATTTTGTTTACCTTTATTAAGTATTTCTTGATGTCATCATATTTCTCCACAGAGAAGGCTCCCACATGCTGTGGAATGAATTCCAAACTCTCCAGCGTCTGAGTCTGTGAACGACTTAAGATTTCTGGACTATAAAAAGGGAAAGAAAAGCCTATTATTTATGTGTTCTACATCAAGGGGAACATTTACATGAAACACAGTCACCAGGTGAGGCTGACATGGCACATCCAACAGTGCTGGCCCAAATGAGCTCATAAAGGCAAATGACCCACTACTCATGACCCAGTTTATGTAACATTCATTCAAAACAGCATAAGTACTTTGTACCACCTACAACAAATTAATGGAGATTTTGCTCCAGTTTAAATAATGGTGCTGGGAAACTATGATATTAGCTTGAAGAGAAAGCTGGTGACAGACCTGCTAGTGACAAGAGAAATATGGAAGAAAAGTAGGGAGGAAGTTACGGAAAAAGGAAAATAAATTCAAGGACCAAGGAGGAAATGAAAATGAGTTTGAGAATCAAGAGACAGTGCAGGCACTCCAACAGTGACAAGGTGCACACATCACGGTAGAGAGAGGCTTTGGGCCAAGAGGCAGGACAAACATATGCTAGTCGTCAACAGCAACCTCCATCATCAGATTACAACCAATAAGAAACTGGAAACAGTGCATAATCATTATGATTATATTAGATACACAAATAAGATATCTGTGGTAGCAACATGGTTTATATAAAAATTTCGTTTCTTCTCACTTCTCAGAAACACCCAACAATAGTTAACCAAGGTTAACTGGAGGGTTATAGGCCCAAGTATTACACTGCCAGCTGTCAGTGAAGACTGACCATCTGCAGCACACACAAGGGTCAGTTGGTGAATTCTAGTCTTCATCTCTTCTACAAGTAGAAAGAGTAGAAGGTAATAATTATGAACTTAATGAATGAAACACTATAATCAGTTTCTATTTATCCCAAATATAGAAAAAAATTACTTATTTCTACATTGAATTTCTTAAAACACACACACACACAAATAGCAAGTAAAAACATATTATGGTTTGCTGTGAATACCAATTTATAAGGTGTTCAATTAGACAGAATCTAGATTAACCTTTCCAGGCTAGACTAAGAATTAGTATTTGCTAGACTTGACTGTGAGACATTCAAAGTTCCTGAAATATTTTCTAATCTCTGGGATTTAATTTCTATGTAATTATATTATACTTTAGTATATTAACATTATTGAATATTGAAACTCTATTCAAAGAATTTGGTAACTTTTAGAAAACTAGAATATTTAATCATTCAGAATGAACAAACATTTATACTGTGACTAAATGGACACTCTACATTTTCTTCAATTCTTTACCATTAGAAAGCAACTGACATGTGTAAATGAAAATTAGCATAAAACTGATTGAAAAATCAAGTGCGTATAGTTACACATGCAGATCAAAGTAAGCTATCTGGCCAGGTGCAATGGCTAATGCCTGTAATCCCAGCATTTTGGAAGGCCAAGGTGGAAGAATTGTTTGAGGCTAGAGGTTTGATACCAGCCTGGTCAACATAGCAAGACCTCATCTCTACAATAGATAGATAGATAAATAATAAATAAATGTAAGCAGGCATTGGTAAGGTTAATTAAAAATAAAGTAGTCTCAGCGTTAATGATGGTCATTTCTAAGTGATAAATCATAGGTAACTTTGCTTTCTTCTTTGTATTCATCCATACTTCCCAAATTACTTATGAGTATTATATCATTTACATAATAAAAATGTTTTTTGCCGGACTTAATGGCTCAGCTTGCAATCCTGCGCCTTTGGGAGGCTGACGTGAGTGGACTGCTTGAGCCCACGGGTTCGAGACTCGCCTGGGCAGTCTCTACAATAAATCAAAAAATCAGACGGGCATGGTAGCGCATGCTTGTAATTTCGGCTACTTGGAAGGCTGAGGCGGAAGGATCGCTGGAGCCCAGCAGGTCGCGGCTGCTGTGGCCGGAAGTGGCCACTGCACTCCAATCTGGGCAACAGAGTGAGACTCCAACTCAAAAAAAAAAAAAAAATGTTTTTAACTTAAAAAAAAAAGGAAAGTAGTCTCTCTGGTATTTTAATAAGGGCATAGCTCAAACAGACCATTACCTAGAATTAAGCTCAATAAAGTTATAGTTAATTAAGAGGTTTTGCTGCAGGGATTAGTAAATTCTTTAGGTTCAACTGCTAAGAAATGCTTGCACGAGCGGCTTAAGTATTTTGTACCACCTACAACAAATTAATGGAGATTTTGCTCCAGTCTAAATCATGGTGGTGGGAAACTGATATTAGCTTGAAGAGAAAGCTGGTGACAGACCTGCTAGTGACAAGAGAAACATAGTGGCTAAGTAGAATAAAAGGAAATATAAAGAAAGGCAGATGGGGAAAAGAAAAGCAGGAGAAAAGGAAAGATGGAAAAGAGAGAACATCTTAAAATAGAGAAAAGAGAGAAAAAATGGAAAAGTACATCTGAACTGTTCTTTGAGCATCTGAGGCGCGGCACCCCTCCTCTGGCTCTGACAAGGAACCCACATCCATGTGGATGGCTGGCTCCTATGTGCAAGGCATCCTTCTTCCCTAGCTGCTTTTAAGATTTTTCTTTGAATTGTAAAATGATGTGTCTACTCATGAATATCTCTGTTATTTCCCAAGATGGGGTTTCCTCAGCTACTTGAATCTATAGGTTTCATGGCTTTTACTAAACTTTGAGACATTTTCAACCATTATTTCTTCAAAAAATTTTCCATCCCCCATTCTTAGTTCCTCTTCTGGAATTCTAAGGACACACATTTAGACCCCACAGGTCCTTGAGGCTGTGCTTAATTTTTTTTTTAATGTTCTTTTCTATCTGTTGTACAGACTGGATAATTCATATTGATCTGTTTTCAAGTTCATGGTCTCCTCTGCTGCCATCTCTATTCGCTATTGAGTCTAGACAGTGAGTTATTTTGGTTACTATATTTTTCGCTTAAAAATTTTTGATTTGGTTCTTCTTCATATTATCTATTTCTTTGCTGATATTTTAGTTTTAATATTTGTCTCAAGGGTGCTTGTGACTGCTGAGCATTTTTATAACAGCTGCTTCAAAGTTCTTTTCAGACCCTTCCAGCATCTGTGTTATCTTATGGTTGATGTTTGTTGATTATTTCTCCTGAAATAAGTTGAGATTTCCATGGTTCTCGATCGCTGAGTAATTTTCATTCAAATCCTGAAAACTTTGAGTGTTATAAGACTCTGGGTTTTGTTTCTTTTCAATGAAGAATGTTGATATGCATAAAGAAGTAAACGCAGCAGGCTTGAAACTGTTATCTTTAGAAGGACCTGCCTGTAAGACTGACCCTGGGCTGGTACCTGAGAACTAAGCTGGTTAAAAATGTTCCCTATACTGATATGGAACGTTCCTACCAGGTGAGGATGCTTTGCTGTCCTTAAACTTCCAAGGTGTGATTTATGGTGAATACCTGCTTTCCTTCTGGGACCATGGAATTTTGGTCATTGCCAGGCATGGGGTGTGTATGTGACCAGCCCCCAGTAAAGCCTTGGGCACGGAGTAGTCTCTACTGGGCTTCCCAGGGCAGAGACATTAGACACGGAGGCTGCATTTTGCTGCTGGTAGAAGAGTATGTTCCATGGGACCCCTCACAGAGGGGAGAGAGAGGAGCTCACATGCGGACTCCTCCAGACATTACCAGCATCTTCCTACCTCATGATCTGACTGTGTATCCTCAATGCATAGCCATCATCTTACTTGTGAGTCTTTGAGTCCTTCCAGCAAGTCACTGAATGTGTAGGTGACCTTGGGACTCTTTAAGCAGCTGATGTTTTTGCTTCAATCTTCTGTGGTTCCAGTGTCAGTCATTCCTCGAAGCCTTTGCAGTCCTATGTGGGGTGGTTCTGTGAGTGTATCCCTTGATGGTCCGTCTGGAACCTCAGTGGTCACCTATTCGCTTAGTTTTCAAAGTCTTTGGGACACTAGTGAGAATCAATCCAGGTGTGTGCAGGTATGGGCAAGCCCCAGAGTTAATGAACAGTGTTAAGGGGTTGTTTCCAAAGTTCTCTCCCCAACACCTCCCAGCATCTCCCGGGCCTCAGGACTCCCCTGCAGGTCCTGTGGCCAAGCAGTGGGAGGGACAAGAGTGAAGCCAGTATGTAGTGGGGTCTGGCCTTGCCTGTTGGACCTGAGGATCCACCAAAATGGAAGAAATTTCCACCCTCAAGTCTTGGATTCTGAGAGCTGCCTGCTCACAGTTGCTCCAGCTGCTGCCATCGCCCCCTCACCACAGATGCCCTGGTGGCAAAGGCAGAAGAGAAGAGAGAAAAGGAGATAACAGCGCCGGGGACATGCCCACTCCTCTGAGCATGAGGAGTCCCTTTCAACTCCTGGAGCCAGAACTGGTGTGTATCTATCCACACTACAGCTCACTTTCAGGTTTCAGGGTACGCTGAGTTCAGGATGAGAGACACTGGAGCAAGTAAACTCACCACTCGTCTTGTGGTGCTTTGAATTTGGCTGTTCCTCCTCAATCCACTTGTTGACATTTACTTTTCAGAGCACTTGGGTAGCTGTCCGTGTATTCTGTCCAGCTTTAGCAGTTGGGCTCAACAGGGGATAAAGGAGGTGTGTTTGGATCCACCTTCCCCAGAAGCAGAAGCACATCATCAACATTTAAATGAAATGCAGTGAGCCCTGACTACTTACTGGTCTTAAGTTTTGGCTTCCTAATGTGCTCTGCCCTGTACTGGGCACTCACTCACCTGTCCCTGTGCTGGCGCCGATTGGTGGTCAAGGCCACGGCAATGTTGTCCCATGCTTTCCAAACCTCCCCTTGGCCAGGGCCTTCACAGCCCAGCTGGCGCCAACACTCGTCAAACACAGCTTTCCACTTCTCATCAGCTGGCACAGCCAGGCTCCCCAGCTTCCTGCTGAAAGAATCACATTACCCTTTCAAAAAGCATTTCTCTTGTACCAAATCGTTCTGAAGAACACAAACTTTCTAATATACAGCTGGGAATGCTTTTGCAATCAAAACTGCCTAGACCAATAGTGGTTCTATTTAAAAAACACCAAATTAAAAATTTTAATGGATTGTTTTTACTAATGCTCATTAGATACTAAAGTACATGGACTGTCAAGTACAAAGCATGTCAGAATTGATTTGCCTCCTACAATTCCACAGAACTGATACTGTAAAACTGAATTCTGTGACAATGAGGACTTTCTAAACTTTGCACATTTCACAGTGAGAATTAAGAAATGTATTACATACTAGGTTCTAAAACTACTCTAAGAATAAACACCACACAGAAAATAACTCTCAGAACAAAGAATAGAAGGTGCGACTAAATATAAAAATAAAGAATTTAAAGCTGTAATCAACAAAAAAAAACATGCTGAAAACTTGAAAGAACATAATATAATATACTTAGATTTTGCCTTTTTAATCTCATATATGTAGAGTGTACTATCCACTTGAGGAGTGTGTGTGTGTGTGTGTGTGTGTGTGTGTGTGTGTGTGTGTAAAGTGATCTTTTCAAAATCAAGTCATGTAGGAATTCCACTGAAGAATGTTCTTTCAGTCAATCTGGACAACTGCTCCATTAGCATCAGGGCTACTCTCACATATGGATCTTTTCCTTTAAACACTTATGCTCTAAGGCTTATAATCCAAGCCAAGATGATAGATTCAGCTATCTACAGCAGTGTCAGTTGACAATTCAAGGAAGTTACACCTTGTTAAAAAAAAAAAGACTTTAAAAACTGGATTTTGCTTTTAAAATATTAACCAGCTTTGATAAAAGCAAGACAACTGAGAACATTCAATAATGAAGTCAGACTGAACACCAGTTACTCACAAAACTTTTGGTTTGTCTTTATCACTCTCGTACAGGCTAGGTTTGAAGTAAGTTCCGGTGATTTTTATCCCAGATCCCCATTCACCACTAAAATAACCTTCAATGTAATCTCCATTTGGCATAGTCAGTGTTCCCTAGGAAAAGTCAGAGCATAAAATATGGAGTTAGAAGAAATAAATATAATTTTAAAAATCATGAGGTAAAAACACTAAATGGTTAACTAACTTGCTCTTTACCAGTTTCCAAGTTGTTAAAAAACAAACAAAAAATGTGCACATACATGTCCAAAAAGAGTGTATGTAAATAATCCATGGGGAAAGAAAAAAAAATCACAGGAAAAGCTGAAAAATATTTTGAGCTGTATAAAATGAACACACAACATGTCAACATTTGGGCTGGGTGCAATGGCTCATGCCTGTAATCCCAACATGCTTTGGGAGGCCAAGATGGGAGGGCTGCTTGAGGCTAGGAGTTTGAGACCAGCCTGGGGAACACAGCAAGAACCCATCTCTTCAAAAAAAAAAAAGTCGGGCTCGGTGGCTCAGTGGCTCAGCCTATAATCCCAGCACTTTGGGAGGCCAAGGCAAGTGAATTGCCTAAACCCGCAGGTTTGAGACCAACCCAAGAAACTTAGCGAGACTTTGTCTCTACAGTAAATAAAAAAAATTAGCCAGGTGTGGTAGTGTGCATCTGTAGTTCCAGCTACTTGGAAGGCTGAGGTGGAAGGATCTCTGGAGCCCAGCAGGTCGACGCTAGGACGGCTGTGGGCCATCTGGACGATAGAGTGACTCCAACTCAAAAAAAAACCAAAAATCAAAATTTATGGAATGATGCTAAAGCAGTGTTCAGAGAGAAATTCATAGCTGTTAATACCTGTCTCAGAAAATAAGGCAGATCTCAAATCAGTAAGTGGAAATTCCACCTTGCAGGGTGCAATGGCTCATACAAAGAATTCCAGCACTTTAAGAGGCTGAGGCAGAAGGATCGCTTGAGGCCAGGAGTTCAAGAACAACCTGAGCAATATAGCAAGACCTTGTCTCTAGAAAAAAATTAAAAAATTACCCAGGCATCGTGGCACATGCCTGTAGTTCTTGCTACTTGAAAGGCTGAGGTGGGAAGAACCAGAAGGGCAAGGCTGCAGTGAATTATGATTGTACTACTGCACCCCATCCTGGAAAAAGGAGTGAGACTCTGTCTAAAAATAAAAATAAATTCCACCTTACCAAACTAGAAAAAGAGGAACAAACTAAACCCAAAGCAAGAAAGAGAAAAGAAATAATAAAGCTTAGAGTAGAAATCAATGAGCTAGAAAAAAAAAAGAGAGAAAAATCAATGAAACCATGAAACCAAAAGTTGCTTAACTAGACTCATCAAGAAAAAAAGAGAAGACATTAATTTACAAAATCAGGAATGAAGCAATGAATATTACTACCTACCTTGTAGAATTAAAAAGGCTGGCAGGTGCTATGGTTTGATGTGTGTCCCTTCCAAAATCTGTGTTGAAACTTAATCCCCATTAATTACCACTGTGGCGGTATTAAGAGGCTGGGCCTTTTGGGGGAAGTGAATAAGAATGGAGCCCTCAAGAAAATGTACCTTAGAAAAGGGCTGGAGGGAACTAGCGTAGGCCCTTTTTGCCCTCTGCCTTCTGCCATGTGAGTACTCGACAAGAAGGCCCTCACATGGGATGTTAGTGCCTTCAGACTTTCCAGCCGCAGAACTGAGGAAATAAATTTCCCAGTGTATGGCATTTTGTTATAGTACTAAAGTAGAACAGAATACTAAGAGAACAGCTTTATGCTAACAAATTAGATGACTCAGATGAAGTACAAAAATTCCTAGGAAGATAAAGATGACCAAAATCAGCTCAAGAAGGAATAGCAAATCTGAATAGTCCTATAACAAGAAATTGAATTAGAAGTTTAAAATTTTCTCACAAAGTAATACTCAGGCCCAGATGACTTCACTGGTGAATTCTCCCAAACATTCAAAGGAGAAATAGTACTAGGGCTTCACAAACTCTTTCAGAGAACAGAGGAAGAAGGAACACTTCCCAAATTATTCTATGAGGTCAGTATTATCCTGATATCCAAGACAAAGACATCACGAGAAAATAAAACTATAGACCATTATCTTTCACAAACATAAATGCAAAACTCCTCAACAAAATATCAGCATTAAATCCAACAGCATATAAAAAGGACTATACACCATGACCAAGTATGATTGATCCTAGGAAAGCAAGGCTGGTTTAACATCAGAAAAGCAACCAATACAATATACCATATTAGTAGAATAAATGACAAAAGCCACATGATCAGCACAACAGACTAATAAAAACCACTTTAACAAAAATGCTCTTCTCCTAAAATAGGGAACAATGTCAAGATGTCGACTCTTACCATTTTTCTATTCATTCTATTGGAGATTCTAGCCAGTATAATCAGACAAGAAAAAAAAAAAGCCCTTCCACATTGTAAAGAAAGCAGCAAAAATGTCTTTATTTGCAGGTGACATAATTCTGTATGCAAGAACTCCTAAGAAATCCACAAAGAAATTACTAAAGCAAATAAATAAATTCAGTAAGGTTTCAGGATATAAGAACAAAAAACAAAACCAGTTGTATTTTTATATAATAACAATGAACAAGCCGAAAATGAAATTAAGAAAACAATTCAAACAATTATTTTTGCAATCGTATCAATAAAACACTTAGGAATAAATTTAACCAAAGAAATGCAAGATGTTTACACTGAAAACTACAAAACATTACTGAGAGGAATTAAAGAAGATCTAAATAAATTGCAAGATGTTTCATGTTTTATAATTTGGAAGATTCAATATTATTAAGATGAAAATTTTCTCCAAATTAATTTATAGGTTCAATGCGATCCCTATCAAAATCTCACCTGACTTTATTGCAGAATTGTACAAGCCAGTTCTAAAATTTATATGAAAAGGCAAAGGATCCAGAATAGCCAAAATAATTTTTAAAAAGAACAAAGTTTGAAGACTTCATTACTTGATTTCACAACTTATTAGAAATCGATAGTAGTTGAGACAGGATGGTATTAGTATAAGAAGATACATGTTAATCAATGGAATATAATTGAGAAATACACAGATTTTATGGTGGATTAATTTCAACAAGGGTTTCAAGATTCAATAGGAAACAGTGCTGGGGAATCTGAATATCCACATGCAAAAAGATTCACTTAGACTCATAACTCAAATCGTGCATAAATACTACCTCAAAGTGAACCACAGACTGAAATATAAGAGGTAAAATTAAAACTTTTAAAGGAAATCACAGGCCAAGACTTCAGATGTGACATCAAAACCATGATTTATAAATTTTTTTTATAAATTAGACTTCATGAAAATTAAAAATTTTGCGCTTCAAAAGACACTATAAAGAAAATAAAAGTTGCAGAGTGTGTGAAAAGATTTGCAAATCATACACCTGATAAAGGACATGTATCCTGAATATATAAAAGTTACAATTTAACAATACAAACAAACACACTTTAGGAATGGGCAAAAGATTTGAGTAGACGTTTCACCAAAGAAGATATATGAATCATTAATAAATAAGCACACAAAAATATGCTCTACATTATTTGTCACTGGGGAAATACAGATTAAAACCAGAAAATACTACTTCATGCTCACTGGCACGGATATAGGAAAAGAGAAAAACAAGAAATATGTTTTGATATGGAGAAATTAGAAACCTCATATACTGCTGATGGGAATGTAAAATGGTATGATCACTTTGTAAAATAGTTTAACAGTTTCTTAATATATTAAACATCAATTTGCCCAGCAATTAAACTCCTAGATATCTACCCAAGAGAAATGAAAATGTATGTCTATACAAGAAGTTGTATTCAAATATTTATAGCAGTATTATTCACAATAGTCTAAAAATAATCCAATGTCCATTGACAGGTGAATGAATAAATAAAATGTGGTTTTGAAATACTGTTCAGCTCGGGCTGGGCTTGGTGGCTCACATCTGCAATCCTAGCACTTTGGGAAGCTGAGGAGGGAGAATTGCTTGAGCCCAGGAGTTCGAGACCAGCCTAGGCAACAAAGTGATACTTTGTCTCTACAAAAAGTAAGAAGGCTCAGCCTGTAATCCCGCGCCTTTGGGAGGCTGAGGTGAGTGGATTGCCTGAGCC